CCAGCTTTCTAGTGACAAGTCAGGTCTTTGTAGGCAAGAAACAGTATTGACCCTTAACACACAACTGCTCACAGCATGTTCTAACTTTAATACCACTTAACAGTCCACTGATTTTATATGGTCTCAATGTAACATAACTCTACCTTAATAATTATATAAACCAGCTTACTTGGTACCTTTTTTATTAATATGATCTTTTGTCCATGGCAACTTAATTATTCAGCTGCTTAGTTATATAATTCACAGATATCCATTGGAAACTGAAACGCCACTAAAAAGGGTCCCAAACAAAGTTGTTGTAGGTCAGACTATACATACCCGCCTTGATTTACTAGACTGAGGCCGTGAACAGGTGTTCATTTCTAATGGTAGAAATTTCCGATAAATTTCCACCAGCAGAAATATTTCTAGGAGAGGGAACACTGCAGGGTTCATCCTGCAGCTGCTCTCTCTTCTCTTGCTCTCCCCTTGCAACAATCTTGGTCTGGGGAAGGCATGGGAATTGTATCCAGGCCTTCCACATAAAAAAATGTATCTAGCCACTGAGCTATTGGGAGAAAAGGAGATGGACAACAAGTAGGTCTCTACAGTTGTCTACAGCAACTTCTGAATGGAGATTTTGAGGATCTGCTTGTTGGCTATAGGTGACTAAGTCCCACATAAATCCCACTTTAGGTGCCTACTGTCTTTTTGTGACTGAAGTCTAATATTCTGACACATACATCTTGCAGTGGGACCAGCCAATAATGGGATATGAATAGATATTGGTTGGAAGCGGACATTAACATACCATTGTGGAAGACTGTTTATAATCCTCACATATCATCCTGTATCAGGCCTTGCTATGGAATGTAGCTGGTCTGTAAGTCCTAGAAACATCAGTCGAATTTATTAAAAAAAACATCAGCCAATATATGATATATTTCAAGTGAAGCACTTAAAACCTAGAATCTTCTCATCTCATTTGTAGGAGAGAAATGTATTTCCCCAGACAAATATTACATTAATTCTAGTATGTAAACTCTGAAATACATTCAGATTTTTCATGAGTGACAATTTATTTTTGTCAGCTATGATATTATTGGCAGATGTTCAGCAAAATGTTCTTTCTCATCATTTGCCTCTTTATTTTGGAGTGACTCTTTTCACCATAAAAGATTATTTTCCAAAATAAAATAAATAAATCTTTAATTAATATATATAACTACCGTAGCAACAACTTCTTTTAAATATGCCAGTGTGCAGAGAAACTGAAATACTTAAAATACATTTTAAACTATTTAAGATCTAGAAATCATTGTGAGTCCTGTGTATATAGCAATAGTTCAGTGAAACTAGTACATAAATGACAGTAGGAAGGACAGAATTAGACTTCCCTTTATGCATCTGAATATCAGTAGCCAGCTGGGAACCCATGAGTAGCAGGTATACACCTGCTTGTTATACAGAGAAGGAGGAGAATCATTTATCCCCAGGAGATGAGTGGTTAGGACACAGCCACTAATCCAGAGAGCAGAGTTTTAGGGTCCAACCTCTTCAGAAAGTAATGGAACTTGCAGGCCTCTGAATTCCCTGTACAGTAGGCTAACTACTACCCCATAGGCAAGGAGGGTAGGGATGCAGTTGCCCCTTCTACCCTCTATAATTCCCCTTTAAATTCCTGATCCACCCAAAATTAAAAACCAACTCCCTGGCAGTAGCAGCAGCATTTCCATTCAAGAAGCAGTGAGGGAGTCATCTGACATTGTGACTCATTAAAATCTACCTGATTCCTCCTAAACGCTACATTCCGTTGGTGTTATTGACTAAACTCTTTTTTAATGGCCTTTAATGGTTATACTAATCAAGCTACACTTTGTTCTGCAATTCTGCTGTTTTGTTTTTCTGTCTGTTAGCTACTTCTGGCTCCTACCTCATAGCCCTCTGCTTTAAACTCTAGCTACATTAGAAACATTAACTCAGGCATGGAAAAAACTTTCAGTGACTCACTGAATGCACTATCAATATTCTCAAGAAGGGTAAATTTTGTTTTATGACTGTAAAAGAGATGTATATTGAATTCTAATGACTCTGAGACTAATGAAATGTCTTTTGATTATTTTTGCTAAGTTTGTTTTGCTTTTATACATAACATATGATGTAGAAAATTAATGCTCATTCCAATAAAGTTATTTTTGTTTTGCTTGGATCTTAAACTCAAAGTTATAGCCCCAGATGACTAGTGTAGTAAAGATTCTAGTTTCTTTTTAACTGGAGAAAAATATATGTTGTAGTATATGAAATGATGCACCACACTATCTGCATCCCCCTTTTCAAAATCCTAGATTCATAGATGCTAGGGTCGGAAGGGACCTCAACAGATCATCGAGTCCAACCCCCTGCCTAGGCAGGCAAGAGTGCTGGGGTCAGATGATCCCAGCAAGATGCCTATCCAGCCTTCTCTTAAAGACCCCCCAAGGTAGGAGAGAGCACCACCCGCCTTGGAAGCCCATTCCACATTTTGGTCACCCTTACCATGAAAAAGTTTTTCCTGATATCTAGCCTAAATCTGCTCTCTGTCAGTTTGTGACCATTGCTCCTTGTTACCCTAAGAGGAGCCCTGGTGAAAAGGACATCTCTGATCCCTTGCTGCATTCCCCTAATAAATTTGAAGGCAGCTACAAGATCACCTCTCAGCCTTCTCTTGCGGAGGCTGAAGAGGTTCAGGTCCCTCTGTCTCTCCTCATAGGGCTTGTTTTGTAAACCCCTAACCATACGAGTGGCCCTCCTCTGGACCCTCTTGAGTCTATCAACATCCTTCTTGAAGTACGGCACCCAAAACTGTACACAGTACTCCAACTGTGGTCTGACCATTGCCTCATAGAGGGGAAGTATCACCACCTTGGATCTATTTGTCATGCATCTGCTGATGCATGATAAAGTGCAGTTAGCTTAGCTGATGATTTTGTCACAATGATGACTCATGTTCATTTTGGAGTCCACTAGGACTCCAGGAATCCTTTCCAATCCTGTGCTGCTGAGAGGGTCACTTCCCAGCCAGTATGCGTGCTGGATATTTTTGCGCCCTAGGTGCAGCCCTCTGCACTTGTCCATGTTGTACTGCATCCTATTTTATACTGCCCACTTTTCCAACCTGCCCAGATCTGCTTGCATCGAGAGTGTGCACTTCACCCCACAATTTAGTATGATCCGCAAACTTGGACAGAGTACACTTCACACCCACATCCAAGTCACTGATGAAGGCATTGAAGAGTACAGGTCCAAGGACTGAACCCTGCAGGACCCCACTACCCATATCCTTCCACATCAATACTGACCGATCTACCACCACTCTCTGGGTGCAACCACTAAGCCAATTTGCCACTCACCGGACTGTGTAAATATCTTTGTCACAGCCACTTAATTTATTATGAGAATGGGATGAGATACTGTATGGAAGGCCTTGCTGAAATCAAAGAAAACAACATCCACCTGTACTCCTACGCCTAAGCATTTTGTGACCCAGCCATCAGGTTAGGCTTTATCCAGCACAATCTTTAGTGCTCCTTTCAAAGTTGAAGCACGGTCAGCCAAAAGGGAGCAATACTGAAGTGAAAAAGAAGAGAACAAGGTAGATGGTCTACGATCAGTGAGATGGATACTGACATGGAAGGAAGGGGGCCCTAGATTCTAGCCTTGATCCTTGCTCCTAATGAGGCAAAAGCTCCTCCCATTGCTCCCATTGTTTTCCATCCATTTTCTCCTAATTACTATTAAATGCAAGGAGTACTGGAGAAGTGTCTGAATAATTCTTAAGCTGTGGTGGGGTCATGCTTAGATATCAAAGAGATGCAGACCCAAACTTCTTTGAAAAAGAAGGTTCAGAACCTAGGTCTTCCACTTTTTGAGCAAGCGCTCTAATGACTCAAATATTGAGGATAAAACACCTTTTTCCTCCTGTCTCCCTGCCCAGCCCCAAGCCTGTGCTTTTTCTAGGACTCATGATCAGGTACGTACATGTTGTAGCAAAACCCCTACCCTTTGCTACTAAGAGATGGTAAGAGCAGCTGAAATCAAGGGGGCAGAGGGAGCTGAGCTAGTTACCAAATGGTAAGCAACAGTAAGACAAGTGCCTCTAGTGACTACTGGGGAGCAAGTGGCACTACCCTAGTCTAGTAGGAAATGTAGTGCAAGAAGAGCAAGCTGAAACCCTGTGATGGGCTAGAGATCATGTTACCAGAAAGGGAAGTGGCTCTGAGAGATGTAAACCAGCCCCTGGGCCAGGGATGCTAGTGTAGTTCTGGCTCATGTGGGCTGAGAAGCTCTTGATGAGGAAGACTGCTCAAGAAAGACCCACAGGCACAAGGTACCCTAAGGAGCTAGGG